GGTATCATAAAATGTCTTTTGAAAATATTTTATTTTTTCTTAAACTTTTTCTTAACTAAGTTATTATTTGTACGATTTTAAATAATTATTTTAGGCTGTATTAATACCAAGTAAATAAAGTAATAATCAAAAATTTGTTTGTATTTGATAATTGCAAATATTTTTCATTATATTTGTTAACTAAAATAATAAAATATATTTCGAGTGCATGTTTTTTTAATTTTTTTTTTATTTAATTTGCCTTTGTCGTGAACATTACAGTACGAGCGCAGGGTAGGATCTTTAATTTTTTTATTACGAGTATTTTGTTATTACAATATTTATCAAAGTAATTCCGAGTAGAACTCGACTTAATAGACAGTAGGAAATATGTTGTTATCATAAACGTGTCATGTAATGCCTCATCATCATAATTTTTATTTTTGTTTGAGTAATTCAAGTACTGTCACAAAATGAAAATTTACCGGTATCTTGAAATATTCTGTGGACACGTTTAAACATTAAATAAGTGTTTAGTGTCTAGAGTTACGTGAATGTGCTAACACCAGATAATTTAATTTATTCTGGTTATTAAGCTGTAAAATAATATTAAGCCTACCAATTATTTTTTATTTAATATAAAATAGGCTATATTTTAATTATTATTTATGTTTTTAAATTTTATTTTATATTTTAAGATTTAGTATTTAAACAAATTGTATATACAATCAAGCTTAACGAAAAAGAAACGAAGGTAAGACTCTTCCTGAGCTTGGAAATTAGAGACTGTTCAACCGAAAAAGCTTTTTAATAATGACGTATAAGCAATAATATGCTCTACGTTTGTGTGGCTCCCAAGGTATCTACTACCCCAGGATTTTATCGACGTCAACGATACGTTGTTTAGGATGTACTTTTCATTTTCACGCCATCTCATCCTATTATATTTCTTATATTTGTTTTTAGTATACTTGTATACAGGCTTAATTCCACAGACTGACATTTTGAAATAAAAATATTTTTTATCATAACATTCTTATTGAGTTAGTTTCGTTCACAAATACTTTTTTGGTTGCTACATATATAAGCGTATTTCCAACACTTATAATATACATATCATATGATCGTCGGTAGAAGCGAGCCCATTATGTTATGTGGTTCTGCTGCATACTTAGTTTCTGTCCGTCCAAATCATCTTATTAAAGATTATAAAAAATATAACGATCACTCTGTAGATGAAATAATTTATACGTCGTAATGCGTATAATACATACACACACACACATCAGATAATGTGAAGTATTATTATTTAATTCAGTATCGTTGAAAAATCAATTTCATCTACAGGACGTCCTTACTACGAGTTAAAGAATTGTTCAACGGTCGTTGACTGCACATAAGCCATGTGTTCAAGCTCTGTTGGGCAAATCGTTTTCGTGGTTGTTTATAGTTATATTAGATTTCAAGTGTTCAATTTTTCAAAATCATAAAATATTGTATGGTTTAGTTTTTTTTAAAAAATAGTCCATTAGGTTTGTTTTTTAGATTGATTTTATTGCTCTATTAACCTAATTTACTATATCCTTGCAGTCCATATCATAACTATATCATTTATTTATTAGTGAATTTTTACATTTTTATTTTTTTCATTTTTTATTTTACTGGTATCTTAATAACAACAAAACCCTAATTATATATCACGTTTAAAAAAATACTTATCGAAATATATGCTGTACTCTATAAATATTATTGTGAAGATTAACATATTGAATTCATTGCGTTGTGTAAATTATATCTATCTAGATTGGCCTGTTGTCCAAAGACTAAAGTTTGTTTTGATTAAAGTCCTGGCATAATATAGTGTAGTCAACACCATTAAGAATAAAATATTAATGACATACCTATATTTAATTTTAAGTTTTAATTATTTTATTCATCATTTTTTTCTTTCTTGGTTTAGGCATTTAAGATCATACCGCTAAATACAAAACTTGCTTTTTATCCCTGTCTTCTGATACTTATCTCCAATTTATTTCTAGTTCTATTTTTATAACGTCCTTCTTCAGATAGTCTTCCCATCTTAATTTTGGTCTCTCTAACGGTTTTTCCCCCATAGATATTTCTTCTATCATCCTCTTAGCAATAGATCCTTGTTTACGCCATGCATGGTTTGTCCACATCAATCTTCTCTTAGCAATATCTTTAACTATATTGAACCTATGGAAAAGTTTTTGGATTTCATCATTATGTATTTTTCTCCATTATCGAAGACTGGGCCATTCATTTTTTGTAGAACTTTTCTTTCAAATATTTATAATTTCAACACTGAAGGTTTTCTCAACGCCTTATAGGACAATCGATTTTAGTAATATCATGTAAATTCTTATTTTTAAATTATTAGATAAAGTCCTAGATTTCTGAACTTTCTAACCCATAATATCCTTTATTCGATTGTTTTATTCTGGACGACACCTTTGTCTTAACATCATTATCCTCCGTTATGATCGATTCCAAGTATTTAAATTATGACATTCTTTTGAATCTATGTTCTTCTATTTCAATGTTGTTCTTGTCCACAATTCATACTTCTTCGACTTACCATTAGGTATTCAGTTTTATTATTATTAACGGTAAAACCTATCTTTTTCGCCATATTTATGAGTTTATTTCCTAACCGTTTTATCTTATCTATATCTTCTTCAAGGAAAAAAATATAACAATAATTTTATATATAATTGTATTTATCATTATTTATTACATTTATGGAAATCAATTCAAACTTTGATACTATTATTTAATTGTTTATTTTATAACTGTCAATAGGTTCAAATACAATATACGTATACGTTTAATAAAGTTTCATGTTGTTTAAAATTTAAGAATTCGTAGAAAACCTATTCTTGAAGGTTCAAAACTATTTTAAGTATTTTTTAAGTAATAAAAATCCGAGAAATTATGAGAAAGTTTATTCTTATTAAGTAATACATTTTCATAATATATCGAACGCATACCTATAAATTTTGTCATATTTGTGTTGTTCTAATAACTTCAGCGCAGGTCAAGAAAATATAATGAAACCTAAGGTAATATCCTCGATAATCGACACGAGCTAATTGATAGTTCCATTAAAATCACAATACAAAAATACAATAAAAAATATCATTATACCAATTAAGATTTATTTATGCTATCGACATATAAGTACCTATTGAATTTACCTATCCAAATACGTTTTCATGAATGACTGTGTATTTTATATAAAGTTTAGCTTGAAACTTAATGATTATATTGTAATAAATAACTCACTTTTGAATATCTAAGTCCTTGTAGTATGTTATATACATCGTACTTAGTAATAGTAATAATTATTATTTATGAGAAATTATGCATGGTTCTTTAACATATTTATAATAATTAGGTGACTGTATAATCCAACAATGTGTCAATAAGATAAGCATTTACCGAACTCATCATTAGTTTATACCTATATGTATTCGGTTAGCTTGCCCTTTAAATTGTGTCACCATATTGATTTTTTTTTTATTAATACATATATGTTATATGTTATCTATAGATAACAATGTAGTTACTTAAAATTATTATTATACATATATTGTATTAAATTGTATAAGTTGCTATTGTTTACTGTCGATATTATTCATTACTTTTATTTGCTTCAGCTTCGCATTTGTTCATAGATAAATTTCTACATTTCTTAAATGTTCAAGTTAGGTGCATTATTTTTGGAATATCGATAAACTTGGTAAATTGTCACATAAGTTGTCGCTGAAGATGTTTGTAGTTCAAAAAATAGACTCTATTAAAAGGGCTGTGTAAATGTGACTATCATTTTAAAGACGAAAGGGGTGTAAGAAAGATTTTTTTAGTGTATAAGCTTCACCCATAAAGAGCTATTTTATATACCTATATAAATTCGTATATATACTCGTATATTATACACACAATAAACAAATCGTTAAATGTTATTACTTATTAGGGATAATTATACGTTCATTGGGAGGGTATTTCTAATTAATGGGCGTTAGTTATATGTGTATACACCCTGCAAACATGCAAAGGCTATAAATGACGTCATCGCAAGGGGTGATTGCAAAGAATTAATTTAAAATATGTATGTAGATTGAACTAAACTGCTGAGTGATGGCGAAAATCGTTAATTGTATTGCCGCACGAATTAATTCAAATTCTTTATTTTATACTTACATATAATTGTTTTAGATTTCAATCTGCATTATATCATGTATATTATGTTTGCATTAAGTTAAGATAAATTATAATTATTTTACTATTTCATTAAAAAATAAACCGAAAGTAAAAGTACATAATATTCACAACATCTACGTTTCATAAAAAAATATAAACATGCATATTTTTATTCAATAAATTATATGTATAAAATCGCATTGTTTCTTTGACGAAATTATTTATTTTTTTTAAATATTCTCAAATAGTATGTACTTCTAGGTTTCAAACTTTTTTATGGAGTATAAATGTATAATAAAATATATACGTATATTTTTCTTTACAAATATCTGATCATGCGTTATTTGCTATGCCGCTAAGATATCGTATTTTGAACTTATGGAGTGCGTTTTGACAATATACTTTTACCGTTCATAGAGAAAAACGCATTTTACCAATAAATATTTTAGCTTGATTAAAAACAGATTTCTCTGGTTGAATCGCTAAAATCACTTAAAAAAATTAAAATGATTTATATACGCGCGCGTGTGTGTGTGTGCGTGTGTCTGTATTTTTATTTATTCTTTGATACTTATATTTTTTATTTGTTTGTTTAAAATAACTGGGACGTTGTTTTGTCATTTCAAAGTTTAAATTAAGATTTCAAATACCTTTAAGCAACTCCTTTAGATATATTTCTTTAACACATTGTGCGATTTCTATATTCTACAACCGTTTAGTTTTTTTTTTTTTTATATAAATTTAGACATATTTCACTTATTCGTGTAAGATAGTTATGTGTATTTTGTTTGTTTCAGTTCCGATGTCGAACAATCAAACCCAGCAGAACACCTCGATCGTTGAAAATCAAAAGCTGTCAACACAGGTACCTAAATTATATTTTATCAAATGGAATGTATTGAGTTTTTACATAGTACTTATACTTGAGAAATCATCAAGACTGTTTCAAATGTTTGTTCCTAAACTTTGAAAAAGTAACCAAGAATGATACAATTATAATAACATGCTTTTTAAGTATGAACTTTGGAATAGTTTAATAAATACCAATTCATTATTAATAATTAAGTACCTAAAGAAAATTATTTTAATTTAATTTAACTGTTAACACTTTTCAAAATGTTATATGATATCGAACATCAAACAGCAAAAAAAAAATAAAATCAGAGTACCTATAAGGCATGAGTTATTATGTATCTTAAAGGAAACAGATAGTAGTGGATGATCTAACAAGTATTTTTAGATGCATAATAATTGTATAATATGGTTTCATTGTAATGTTATAATTTAATAATATATTGGTCAGAGGAGATTTATAAGTGTGATAAAAATATAAATTTCATTATGTAAGTAGTATTTTTAAACACTCGAAAAAATAACTTCTAAGCAGTAAAATAATTTCGAATTGTAGTTTATACTATTATATTAAACAGATAACATTTAAAAAAAATTAAAAAAAACTATTAGGTTTTCCCAAAATTTTCTTTCGTAAAAACATTCTCCTGGTAATTCTGATCAACTGAAAAAAAGTTGAGCCAAATTGGCCCAGCCGTTTTCAATCGATGAATTACTATACATTTTTCACACAATTTTTACACATATATTAAAAATTAAAAATTTAATTATCAATTATTAAAAATTATGATTTATTATACAACACGTCGCCAGAATTTTATTTGTGAACTAACAAAAACAAACGGCAGAATAGAATGAAGATGATTTTCATTAATAATTTATTCAGTGTATAATTAAGAGCTAAAAGTATTAAATAAAGATTTAACTAACAATATTAGATGTGCGCCGTTTTTTTTATGTTTTATTCATTTATTATAGTTGTATCTTTAGATATATTATTACTAGGGAATGGATTTATAAGCACAAATAATCTTCAAAATATGCTCCTAAAAATTGTGTAATATGTTACACAATTTGCATTTATTTTTAAATATGCATTTATAAGTAAATCGAGCAAAAACTAGGTCAGTTTTACACGTAAAAGTAATACACACGAATGCACAACACTGACCGATCGGTTTTCTTACGGTTTTCTCGGTTGAACTTACAGTGTTATTGGAGCAAAATGCAAAACTACTATGTGTTAATATAACAATGTTTACATAATAACCTAACCCAATAGCATATATTATACTACTACTCTATAATACAAAATGCAAACCAATCAAAGTCTTGTCAATTTGTCGTCTATTATTTAATAAACGTTGATTAATTTGATTTTTCCGCTATATCCAACTGTCATGTAGCAAGCTGATACTACTGTTGTATTAGCGTACACATGTTATTAGTACATTTACAGATAAATTACAATTATAGTTACGGATATTTATGTATTTATATATTTAGTTATAAATCCATGGATTTGTTTGTTGCAGCTCTCCATGCTTCTCTATCGTAAAGCAATTCCTTCAGGTCTTTGTAATTTCCTTTATTCGTATCCTGCATTATCTGTGTCATGCATTCTGCCCTTGGTCTTCCTCTTGCAATGTGTCCTTCAACATCTCTTTCAATTATTTTCTTTAGTAAACTCTCATGCCTTAGTATGTGTCCTATCATCTTGCCTCTTCTGGATTGAATACTTTTCCATATTTGTCGTTGTACGGATATTTAGATATAAAAAAAAAACTAAATACTGCATACATTTGCAAATATTATTCTTAATTTCCTTTGCACAGTATTCAATCAACAAATGAATGAAAACAGTTATGTAATATAATTAATTAGTTGACTATTTGATTTAATTTTTTTTAAATTAACTAAACTAATTAACTAACCAAGAGTAAATATATTTTCTAAGTATAATTTGTTATACGTTTTTAGATCCGAGGATCGTCAATACTGTTGGAACTGCAATAGTCGGATAAGTCCTCGATGTGGCCGTCGGTTGAGCAGGCATCCAACTCGCTCCATTTCGGTTCCTCCAGTAAGGAACATTCATAAATCAGTGCCATGTATTAGATCTAAGTCAATGCCATATCGTGAAAAAAACGACAGCAAAATGCCTACGAGTAAGTGCTGAGCGTGTTATTTAAAATAATGTTATAGGAATCTAAAAGTGAAAATTTATCAGGCTAGGTGCATTCATATTTTTTTCACGATGGTTAATGGCTTATTATTGTACTTAAAATACAATTATTTAACTTACTATGTTACAAGTCTAATATAAGAATAACATCTTATTCTTTAATATAAATCCCAATTTTCATCATTATAATTAAATACTATAAACATAATTTCGTATCAAATAAATATTATTAATTATTTTCAAAATTATTTATTAATTAATATATTATAAATTACATTAATATTAATTACAAATTAATTGAATAATGATTGATATATCGTTCATAATCTAATGACCAAATATTTAAATTTTTATTGCTTATTTAGGTCATTTCTACCATTCATTGCATAAGTTTATTATTTTAAATTTGCAATACACTTTTTGTAAAAAAAAAATGTCAATTATGATTATAAATTACTTTAAATTTAAAATATCCTGAAATTTAATTTTCTCCTTATATTTATTATGAAACATAATATTTTAAAATTATATTTAGCTTACTGTTTATAACTTACCTTCCTGTGAATGCTATTTTTGGTAATTATATGTTAAATCGTAACCATAAGATTGTATTTTTATATAATATTTATTTTTATTGTTCTCATAGATTTTGAAAATTCTTCAATCAAAACTTGTTTCTCACTATCGTCGCTGCACCCCTCTACGGTTAATGTAGAGGGTGGACAGCAAGCGGCACAGAGACCATATAATAGCCTTACGAAAAAAATCAAGTAATTTTACATAAAATATCAAATATTATTCACAATTGAAACATAGATATCAAGGTTTTTTTTTTTTTTTTTTTTTTTTAATAGGAAAAATGAAACTACGAATCAGGATTGTTGGAGAGGTGACAGTAGTTATGAGTTCTTGTCTAGTTTAAGAACAAGTTATCAATATCTTATGGATAACAACTTGATCGAAAGCTGCAGGGTAAATTTTTCATTTTTATAAATATTAAGTTGATTTAATCTTTTATGAAAAACTGGATAAAGACAGTAATATTGTCACAGTACTAATTTGTTTCGTGATTATACGAGTATACCTGCTTAATTTTAACTTTTACTTTTATAGTGATCTGATTTATATTATGTTCTATCAGAGGCGTGCTCAGGAATTATGAATAGAGAGGTTCAACTTTTTTTAATACAATATTATAATCAATATGCATTATGAATTAAAATGTAAAAATTATAAGTAAACAAAGCATCATTTTTGTAGCATAAAACATTTATTAAATTAAAATCATAAAACAAAATCAAGTTCACGAGATTTTTTAGCAAGCTCACCAAGGACTTCTTCAGCTAAAAGTAGTATATTAATTTTATTATGCGACATTTTGATTATAAATTAAACAATTTCAAAACTCAAATATAAGCACAATTGCACAGATAAAAACAAATTTATTTAAAGAATAAATTATATAATAATTATTAAAATAATCTGGGATATGATATTATATGATAAATTAATAACTTGTGGGTTATATTTTTTGATTCGTGGTTGTAGGTATTAGTTAGTAGGTGGTTACCATGGTCTTAGAATAATAATAGTTACTATCACCAATATCAAAAAATACAAACTAATAAAGAGAAAATGATACCTAATAAATAAATAAATTGTTATAAAAAAAAAAACTGGCGAAAATTAAAACGTCGGTTAGTGTTCGTTTGCGTCTCCCAATCACTTCGGTGGACGTGGAAAGAAGTTTTTCCAATTCTAAATATTTATAATCAGATCGTCGTTCTTTTACTTTTGATAACATTAAATACGCTCTAATTATACTATGCAATGATTTTGATTTTTGAGTAGGTAATTTGTAAGCTTTGATAAATTTATAAAACAAATATTTCATATTTTAAGGTCATTTTTATGTCATATTTGCATACTTTTTTAGGTCATTTCTTAATGTTTTTAATGTTCTTCTCGATTTTACTACTACGCTTACAATTTTTGATACTGTTGCCATCTACTGTTAAGTAATCTTATTTATATTTATCTACAGGAAGTTGGATGTGACCTTAATAATACTTCACCGATTCAGGACTGGAATGTTGAACAGTTGAATATCTACATCAAAGAATTGGAAAAAAGTTTTTGTTCTGGCTCTACATCAAAAACCAATAGTTGCAATTTGACCGAAAATTTAAAATCACCCAAAAGACTGGTTAATTTTATTAAAATATTCTATTACAAATCAATAATTTTTAATGTATATATTTTTTTAAATTTTAGAATATGAGCGAAGAAGTTTGTAGACTGAATATATTGCGCCATATAGCGCAGCTATCCAAAAGACTGCCACACTGTCGAGAACCATCAATGAACCAAAGTTGCTCTTCAATATATAATGCACATTATTTAGGTTATTATTAATGTGTAGTACTTTAATTTAGTATTGATTATTTTTAAAGTATTCATAAAATAATTCAGCTTCAAAATTTAAGTTTTCCTACCTACCAATTGGTATTAATATATTTTAGTCTACTTCTGTGCCATAATACTTTTAGTTCTATTTTTACTCAGTTATTACTTTTCTTGATTTTATATCAACTATTAAATTCATTTTAAAATTTTCCTCCCAGTTAGTAAATATTATTATTTGTCACTCTCTCATTACTCCTCGCCTAGACTGTGTCAAGTTTTCCATTTCTAAATCACACTTACACCTACTACCCATCTTACTTTGAATTCCATTTCAATGCAAATTCGATTCAAAATAATTTATTAAGTATTTTATCTGATCATATGTTGAAGACCACTTAATCTAAACAGTACTGACTTTATAAAGAGGAGATTTCACCAGACACTGCACAAATGCAAGGCCTCATATATATTTTACCTACTTCGCATTAAGGAAAAAATTAATAATTTTACTTAAAAAAAAAAAATGTATTTTTCAACATAAAATAAATTAAAATACTGTGCTTCTACAGTGAGCAAATTAAAAAAAAAAAAAATTAATTTCCTATGATAAAAATGACTATTTAGATCATGATCACCATACTAATACACCAACTTGTACTGACTATACATTTTCTTTGAAAATTGATTAAAAATTATTTGAGAAAAATTTGATCACAGCTCAAGTTGTCTGACCTTATTCTTAGCATCCTATATATATAATGCCAATTTCTTGAGCTGAACTGACACAATTTATCTGATTAAAACAAAAAAGTGAGAGAAATGTTTAAGTAATATTATATATTATGCTGAAGTAATATTAATTTTTTATTTAGTAAATGTTTAATTATTACATCATATTTATTTCGCTATGTTCAATAATGTATTATTTACTCATAAAGTATTGTTTATTCCTAAGATTTTATTTCATTTAGTTTCTAGCATTATCTTAAAATTAATTTATTAAATCGTATGGAGTCCCTCAAAATTCTACATTGGACCTAAAAGTCCATTGGGATGGCACTGAATAAATTTCCCAATATTCAATAAGTATTTCTTCTGATATAATAAAAAATCAATTTACAGATTATTTCTTAAAACATACAATTTTTCCTTATTAATATGTGTTATAAAGAAGTTTTTCATGACTCTAAATAATTAAAATTATAATTATCTAAGATATAAACAACTAGAATGATTTTTTGAAACTGTATTTTCATATGTATTGCTTGCAATTTAAATAAATTTCTTGCAATATACTTAAAATTAATTCTATTAAACTCATTAATATTACAATTAATAATTAACACTATTGTAATTGAAATAGTTCAATTCTTTAAGAAGTGAATATTTGATTTTTTTAAATTTCTTTTTCTGATTCTAAGTGTTGTTAAAGTTATTCCTTAATCAAAATTATTTTCATAAAGTCCAAATCGTATTATTAATTCTATGGATGAAATTAATATTTAATTTAAATTACCATCTCATTAAAAAATGGTACAAGAAAGATGCTTATTTTCATAGATTCCTTTAAAATTTTCCCCAGCTCTTCAGAATGGTAACAAATTTAATAAAAGCACATTTTTAAAGTATTCTTAGCCTAAATTAGCAATCATAACTTAAATGTTTTGTTTAGTTTGTTATTATATGATTAAGTCTAATATATAAGATAAAATCATAGTATTCAATTTTAAATTTCTATCTGGTAAAATTTATTATAAATTAATTCAGAAATAAAATGAGGACCTAGCACATATTTAAAATATTCAAAAAATTTTGCAGAATTGTATGTTAAATTGGTTCCTTATTGAAATCAGGGACCGGAACCTTTATGAATTATATGGTTCCGGTCCTGAAAAAAAAAAAAAAAATCGCTTTTGGTTTCAGTTCCTTTACAGTTAAAATGTTTTTAAATGAAAATTTTGTTTCAAGTTTAGGTTTTATACTTATAAATTTAAAAAAATTTAAATAATTAATCTACTTATTTATTTAATTCTTATTAACTACTAATAACATATATAAATAAAAATATAAAAAACCAAAATTAATCATTAAAAAACTTACAAAAAAGTATCGGTTCCTCTGTAGTTCAAGTTTTGAAATAAATTATTATAAGGGCTCTAAAAAGGTTCTGGGCTTAAAAATTAATTTAAATTGTAATTCCTGTTCAAAATATTTAAAAGGCTTCGGTTCCAAAACCAGTTATTTTCGGTTAGGTTTCGATCCCAAATTGAACATGGAAATCATTAATTTTGCTATCAAATTTTGTATTTAAAAAAAAAAAAAATGTATTTATTTATTATTATTTTTTAGAAGTTAAGTCTAATTTGAGATCTCTGGATCAATGGATGGTACAAATGGAAATACGATTGAAACCTAATTATTTCCGTGTCAATTGGAACCGCCGTGAAATTAGACAAAAAATGGAAGAGCACAAGGTAAGATTTAACTTTATAAAGTTTGTTAGTTAGTAAAGTTTATAGTTATCAGATATTTAGTCTAATATTAAATTAATGTTAATTTAAATAACAATGTGTATAAATTTTACTAAAAGAAATAAAAAGATACAATATAGTAGTAAAATATTTTTTTTTAGTACATTTTATATTCATTAATAAGTTCTTGTGGTATCTAAATCCCTTACTCCTTTGAAACGATAAAACGATGGTACAATTGTATATGGATTTCTATGTTTCATAGTTGTAATACTACAATAATGTTGTTATAAACATTGTGTTGCATATACGTGCTTTAATTTAGGCGTTTCATTTTGTTTTCGGTCAGAAAATGTTTATACTATAGTAGTATGGCCACTGATAGGCGGCGACCAAAACTCGTCCGTTATCGCGCATTCCCACCACTAAACCTGCTAAAACGCTGGCCGCCATTAACGTGCGCCGCCGCCACCGTCACCGCTACGCTGCCAGCACAGTTTAAGCCACTGGTCGTTGCATTTTAATAGGTTGAACGCCATGAGACTCTTTTTGGGAACTCACTAATTTTCTCCCTGACGCCATGGTATTTTTAATGTGATTACTCAAATTTGATTTGAAAAAAAAAAAAATGATTAGATTTTGCTGGAAATTTAAATATGGGTTCAGTATCAATTATATGACTGATATACAGTTATTTTGGACAAATTCTAGCTGATACCCTTAATAAATTCTCATGGCGGTAGTGAGTAACATGTAAAAAATTGTTGATTGTTCCTAATAAACTGAGATACCAAATAGGTTCTCAAAATAGTAATATTGTAATAATATTTTCATTCCATTAAATTTAGAATATTCAATTGTATAATATAATTGTTTAGGAACTTGAGGTTAGAAGTTTACATGAAAAATAATAAAAATTTAAAAAGAAACATTTTCCTTAGTTGCACTACCTTTTAATAATAATAAGTAATATTATAACAGTAAGATAAAAGAAATTTAAACAAGTAACATTCTCGTAATTTTCATATCACAATACAATTTAAAGTTATTATCACATAATTTGCTGGTATGCATATCTATTAGTTTCTATAACTATTTTCTCTATCATTTCATCATCAACTAATAGCTTATAAAAATAAAGTGGCGACCCATCAATCATGCAATCAAATAAATCAGGATTAATACTTGTTAATTCATTTTTAAGATGGAATATAAATGTATTAGTAACTTTGTCATCGACTCTCCACTGACGATCTGCTTCAGATTCTGGGTTTGTATGGTTCTTTGGGCGTTCAGGTGGGTTGTATATGTTTGTAATTTCATCTTCAGAGTCACTAATGTGAAACACCTCTATTTAAAAAAATGTACAATGATTATAAAACAGTATAGGTTATGTTTAGAATTAGTTTTAATTTACCAGAGTCATAAACATCTATAACCCGAGGCTCAATTAAATAATAAAATAATAATAAATAATTAAGCTCAACTGTTGTACAATTCAAGAAATATAATTACCATTGAGCTGACTAGTTTCTGGAAATATACAACGATTTGTTTTAATTCCTTCAGACTCTGAATCGCTTTCATCTACATAATGTAATTTAATATTAAAATATGAATCGTAAAAAAAAAAGGTGGATTATGATGTATAATTATGTACAGGCACTTACCAGATAAATTAACGTTGTGGGGTGACTTCCAAGTAGGATCGTCGTCTGAGTCATCAGGATACTCCTCACACTTGGAGTCAATTAAATCACATATTTCTTGTGAATTCATTTTTAAATTAGTACCCAACAGTTCAACAGTAAAACAAACCAATACAATTTTTTTAAAAAAAAAAAACGTTATCGATTCATTTTTTAAAAGTTTATCATATTATTATCAAGATGAATATTATCAGTAGTTATGATATACAAATTGGAATAGTAAGATAATAACACAACCTAAAACCACAAACATGACCAGATAACTTCATTGGTATCATCTTTCATATTGTTATCGATAAATTTAATTTAAAAATTAACAATAAAGATAAACGTTCGCTAAAAACACCAAATTATATTGGTCACACCGTAGAATCCGATTCTGCAATAAAAACTACGACAACTGAGATTCTATTCGAAGTATCGGCGTATAAAGCTATGTAGTCATTGAGATTACAAAAAGAGTCTCAATAACGGTTTTGAGTAACTTAGCTGAGACCCCAAATAGAGTCTCATGGCGGCTATGAGTAACCCGAAAGAAAATACATGGCGGTCAACTTGTTAAGAAAGGGAATTTACGGCGGTGAAACCACCGGAGCTCAATCATTTGTATGCGCAAAGAAGTAGCGCTCTCTCAGTGGCCGTACTATAGTTTCTTGTTTTTTTTATTTTTATAAGTATTTATTAATTATATAATTTTATAAGTACTAATATAATTACTTATTATTATACATAGTTACTTATAATATAAAAATATGAAAAATATAAACAATAATAATAACTCATATTGGAAGCTAAGTTAAATCTCGTGTTATAACTTAATATTAATATTATTTATTAATTTAGATATAAATTGCACGAAACTATGAATAAATCTTCTGTGTCTCTTATTTCTCCAATTCCAACATAATTCTTTACTTAGATTTGTGCATCCAAATCTGAATATAAATGAATAAATCAATATTATATATGTAACCATATTTGCTTAGATTGACCATATTTTTCTATAAATAGAGCTCGCAATTGTGAACATTCTTTTTTTTTCCAACAAACTACTTTAAAAATCTAATGATTTGGAGCAATGTGTTCAACCATACTTTTTTTATTAAATAATAAAAATTTGAATTTATTTTAGTAACGTATAAACTTGAAGACATGTAGTACCTAACAATTAATCAAACGTAATCAACCGTACAATTAGGTGTCTAATTTATAATATAAAAAAGTGGAAAAAATAATGGTGGTAGTTTAATGGATCAACTTTGAACTAAAATTATATTAAACTTACAGGTACTTCTTGAAATACTTTTACACTTGCGAAATTACGTTTTGATAAATTATTCAAAAATTGTTAACCTTAGTAGTCTCTTCTTAGTTGCTTGTTTATTTGTAATCATTGTTTATTGTTTGATAAATCAGTTAAGTCACCATAAAAATCTTAAATTTCCTTACACAAATTAACATTGTAAACAATCTTTAACCAATATGTATTCTGTATTCATAGCCTGACTTTTGTAACCTTTGAAATGTAATTATTAATGTAACTCACACAATGTAACATGTACTCAAGGCTAATAACCTCAGTTGTTGAAGCCTTTTTTTTTTCTTCCAATAAAAAAAAAGAAAAATCAGTTAAGTGTAATAATATAAATATTTCAACAATTTCATGTAATTTATTTAGATGAGCGTTTAATTGTGTTAACAAAAATATTTTCTTGAGCGTTGATTAAATGTTTTTTATTTATTGAGATATTATAATTTTCAAAAAATAGTTAACTTTAAAATTATAACTTTAAGTTTGATAATTTATACTAAAAAATAATTACACTCTTATAGTTTATATAGATTAATTTATATTAGATTTTGTGTTATAATATAAAGAGATTTTCCATGCAAATAATTACATCATTTAACATGGGTTGAACTATTTAAGTCAATATTAAACTATAAAATAACAATTTAAATTATTACCAAAGAACCATTGAAAATATACTTCCTTTTTTTGTTATTAATAATGACTGTTAACCTGTCATTTGATTACTGCCCAAAGGTGTGTAGTATAAAAATTAGAAATTCTTAGTATTAATACTCTTTTATAACGTCCGTTCATTAAAATCTGAACCTGCAGTTTATTTTCACCGGTATAATCGTTGTAATTTATACTCGTTAATTAACTATTAATGAAGTTTAGAATATTTATTCATATTCAGTGTTTTATAATGACTCGCAAAAACAATTTTATAACAGCTTAGTAACGATTTGACGATGCTTTGAACTCTAGGAGTTTCATCAAAAAATTTGGGCACTTCTAATTTTATCATATTAATATTATTGAATTAATTAAGATTTTTCTTATACATAAGCATAAAATCTGAATCAAATATATACTTTATGCTATTTTACTTAGCATTTATTCTTATTTATACAATTGTGTGATTAAATTCGTCATTTAATTCTCTCTTATAATTCAAATCAATCATTAAGTACATTAAAATTCTTGTTTAATCATTTTTAAATAATTGTATCACTTTTTTTAGGTTTTGAACTTATTTTATTCATATTTATCTAGAAGTTACATTAATTTGTGTAATAAAATATTTGAGCAGTACTTTTTAAACTACCTATATACGATAGCGATGAACTTGGTTCAAGGTCGTACAGTTTCATCGCGAAGAGGTAGTATTAGTCAAAATGTCCAGACACATACGATGATTAATTGGTTTCTTCAATAGTGTAGCATCAAACACATTATTTGTTGTGCTAGCATACAACAAATCATACTCTATGCTTCTTATAAAACTAACCGTCGGTCTATGGCTTTGTAAATAAATTTAATACAAATAAAATAACTTCAATGTTATTAATGTCAATAATGTCATTGTTATTATCGTATGCACACGAGTCATTATTGAATTTATATAATAATCATGTACAAAAATAGTTCTTAAAGATTTAGTCTCGTATGCTAAAAAGTTATGTGCCTTGTGCGAGTATTTTAAGACTAAAATGTCAAATGATTCATTTTAAATGGTACGACTGTCGACACAATTATGTGTTCCATACTTGTGCCAAAAATTTAACATTAGAATATAATTTAGTTTCTACATTTTAATTTAATTAATTAAACTTATTCAAATTTTCTTGTATTCAATAATTTTTATAAAAACCATATATATAAACATACATAAAATAGTTGAGTTAAAACATTATATTTATTTTTAACTTGTAATACATCTATTTAATTTAATAAACTATGAAGTATACATTTTACTTATTTATTATAATAATATATTTCTAAAATTGAACATAATTATAAATTATTTGTTGTTATTTTTATTATGTTACTTTGGTTAAAAAGTATTCTGACATATAGTATGTAATAATTAAACATTTATTTGTTATAAACTATAGTGTTTCAGAATTAAGACATAATTTCATATTTTTCTTTATTACACTACAGCAATCATGCTATCATAAAAGTTTTCGAAGTGGTGTCTCTTAAAATTGTCATATTTCACATGTCGACTATTTTTGTGTATAAAATTATATTAATAACTATATTAATATTATATATGTAATATGAATATAAATTTAAAATCAGAAACTGTAATTAGTTTGTGGAAATTACAAAGTTACCGAAACATATTTTTCTGGATTTAAATTTTTGTAATCTAATGTTTTTCTTTACCTCCTACAATATAAGAACAAATTATAATAATTTTTTTGATAAATAATATTAAATGTTATGTTATATTAAAATGCATTGTTCAAAAAAGTACCAGCAAGATTTAAAGTTCAAGTTTTTGTTCCTTATATATATATATATATATATATATATATATATTGATACCTGATTACACGAATAGGATATTATTAGAATAGGTAGAATATCGGAATGAATGTATTATTATTTAGGCTGGAATTTTGATGCAAATGCATCTTTTTTTCTGATGTCCCAATACATAGATCCATAAGAAGAAAATGTTTTTCAAAGGATACTGATTAATTTAATGTAGTTTTTATTTTGCTTTTTTCTTTTTTTTTTTTTTTTATTTATGACAAATTTAACTTTATATGCAATTTTAGGGCATATTTTGCTGTGTTTTTTATGGCATTTTTAAAGTTTTTAAGCATTTTTTTAAATTTATCCGACAATATCTTAAATATTAGGATATTTGATCATGCGTTTTGACGTTAGTTTCCTTAAAACGTTATCATCTATTATATTGATAAATTAATAAATATGAGGATATCAGACCATGTACATATGTACATATTTCATCAAAAATAGAACAAAATTAAAATAGTTGAAAGAAATTTTTTTACTTGCAAGAATCCAACAACGATTAAATTTAAATGAAGTTAAATAAAATTTAAATATTAGACAAATAGGTAACTTATTTATTGTTAACTATTTTATGATTATGTCAAATAAATATAGTTAAATATACTTGGTAAAATTATTTTCATAATATAATTTTTAAACTATAATAAATAACATTTTTAACGTATTTTTATAGTGCATTTTTTTTATCGTTTTTAAAGCAATATTGTATATTTTTTAGATAATTTTTTGCTATATTATAGAGTATTAAAATCATAGTCCTAAAACTTAAACTTAAATAAAAAATGTATTATTATTAAAAGTTTACGTTTTATATAGTGATAGGTGAATCATGTTATACAAAAAAAACGATTCAGAGTAGAGGTTGGAATATCTGTTCTTTAATTGTTTAATAAAAAAATTATAAAATGATAAATAATAAATTGAAATTCAAAGTGAGTTTTATTAGTAATTAGTGTGTTTTATGTGTTCTTGCTTTTCTCATTGTTTTTAAATTATTAAAGAGTTCGATATTGGCACCATTTTTTTTCAAATCGAGTTCTGTTTAGGGTTTACTCTGAATTATTTGACTAACTTATTGTACCTTTTATATGCAAAAAAAAATCTCATGATTATCAAATGAAAAATATAAAAAGTTCATAGTTTTTTTTCCAAGTTTTTTTTTACCAATTTATTCTTTACTCCGCTCATAATTGAAAAGCACATAGTTAATATACCCTCACAAAAGTTAATAATAATCACTGTGTTGAACGCCCCCTGATCTACCTTTAAGAAGACAAGGTAATAAAAAAACAAATCAATTGTCATATGATATAGGTTCTTATTAATTATTGGTATCAACTGACAATACAACATATCTCATTTGGCGCTGTATACACCTCCCCCCCCTCTAGGACCTATAATCTGCAAAAGAAGTTCCATTAATGTTGTACCAGATTGAATTATAGTAACAATGATTGTTATTATTATTATTGTTGTTATTATCACCATAAGAAATAATTTCATTTTCATTTCATAATCATGGACACGATTTCAATTATTTCTTGGTGCCTGGTGGAGTTCTATCGATTTCGGTTTTTATTTAGATGTAAATATAACCGTATATTTCAATATACGGAAAAACTCATTAAGTCTTTGTAATATCCAACAATTAGAAAAAATGGTTTCTCTGGTTACCTAACAATATTTGGTTATATCATTGGTCATCAGAATATAATTTTTTTAGATTTGTAACAATATATTCGTGATATCACTACGGTATTATATAACTAATACCATTACCTATAAAAATAT